AAGGCATGAAATTTTTCTTGTGGTATTCCTTTACAGAAACTTAAACATCTTAATACGCAGTAACTGAATAGTAACGATATAGTGATTACATAATTACTATTAAATTAATCGAGACTACATAGCTATTATTCAGTTACTGCGCATTAAGAGATTCAAAGTTTCTGTATAGTCATCCAATGATATTGTTGCGTGGATATCATGTGATATATGTTTCGGGTTACCCAGGTAGCATAACCCTGACCTGGTTAAGGATGCTTATACGGGTTACCCGGGTAAGCCTTATCTGGGCTTAATCTCTAGTGGCCTTACTATAGTAAATATGAAAAGGCAACAAAACTCTTACACGGTCAAAGAAAAAAGTAAAGTTATAGAATTGGATGCTGTACTTCAAATAAATTTGCTGCTCACTGCTATTCTTTTGATTTAATAATGGTTGGTCAGTGGGTTAAACAATTTTCACAATATTCCCCTCTTCAAAAGAGTTTCTGAAGGGTTGGTTCTGGACATCATGCATTGTTTCCTAAATAAGAAGCCCAACTCTATGAATGGATAATGGAGCTTCATAAAGATGGTTTTGCAATTAATTATTCTAGTATTAAAATGAAAATGGTTGAAATTATGAGATCAAGTGCAAGACTAGCTCAATATGAGGCAGAAAAGCTAGCAATTGCTAATTTTAAGTTTTTACAGCATTGGCTTGGTCATTTTTTAAAATGTTACGACCTTTTTCTTTGCCACAAGACTAATATTGTGCAAAAGTTCCTGATAACCTCGAGAATAAGCTATTAAAGTTTTAACAGTTTGTTATTTGCCTTCGCCAGAAAAATAATTATCCTCTTGGTATGATTGCAAATATGGATGAGACATCAGTTTGGTTTGATATAGTAGGTAACTTGACTGCGAATCCAAGAGGCATAAAAACAGTTCATGTTCAGTCAACAGGAAATGACAAAAATCGATTTACCATGGTATTAACATGCCTTGCTGATGGCACTAAGCTCTCTCTAGTCATTATTTTCAAAGGAAAGATTTGGCCTGCTAATATGCCTCCTTCTCTAGTTAGTGTAATTGTTTAGTTTCAAGACAAGAATGGATGGATGAGTTAGGAATGGAACGATGGATAAAATATTGAAATAGAATGCAACCAGAAGGACCTCATTTAAAAACAATGCTTGTCTTAGATTCTTTTTCAGCACATATTTCAGAACAAATTAAGTTTGCATTGTATTCAAGTAATACAGATCTAGCTGTTATTTCTGGAGTCTTACTAGCATATGTCAACCTCTTGACATCTGTGTAAATAAGCCTTTCAAAGATAAGCTTCATCAACAGTAGCATAGGTTAGGTTGTCAATTTCTTGTTTTATTAATGAAAATTATATTTTATTCTAATTTCTATTGCTCTATTTATTGTTCTTTTGTTCTATTTATTTATTGCTAT